GATTGATAATTTCTAGCTTTACCATGTGATAAACAGTTAAGTAAAATGGAGAGGAACTATTAAGGAAATCGGATTCCCCATGTTCTCTTGGTCTTTGTAATTTTCCTTCTCATTTTCCCCATCGCTTCCTCTATTCATTACACTTCACCATATAGTGTCTTTCTCTTCGTTTTACTTTGTTTTTCTTATAGGAACAATTATATAGACACCAAATGTTTTATTTGACACCACTGAGCAATTATGAGATTTGTTCTTAGAGAGTACTGTGTTTGGTTATTACTGATGTATCTAGTGTTTGATCTGTGGTAGCACATTTACACATTGCCATTTGTTTTTGCAGTCACCCATTGATCAATTTCTTGTGTGTAGATGTATCTGTGAAGGTATTGTAAAGAAATACTTCTGAAATTTATCTCAGGAACGTTTGGAGGACATGTAAGTTTATCGCAGTTTATGTTAAAATTGTTTTTTTTAATGTAATGGGAAAATATGATAATATTTTTAAAAAATCATCTGTTAAACATGAAGTAGATTGAAGGAATTTAACAGAGAAATGCAAAAAAGGCAGCCAGGCATTTTTTAGCCCAACTGTCTGTAAGTTGACTAAGCCTTTGTAAAGAATAGAATGAAGAGGACAAGACATCTATGGAGCTTCTCAATCATGGTTGTCCCAAAGGGGCTTTCCCCTCAAAAGTCAACTGGATTTTCTTGGTTTTTTTCTTTGAAAACATTTCACTTCCTATCCAAGATTGTTCAGCTTCAGGGACAAAAGGACAAGGTAGAATAGATGTTGTGTGAAGGCTGTGCAGAAAATGTAATTCTTCAACAATGCAAAAATAGTAGAGTGTATGTTAACTTTGGGGAATGCATGTTCCAAGGTTTTAATCCATTTAGTACAATAATTTCTGCACTATTCTTGGGGGTCTCAGAAGACAGAAGAATGTCTGGAGAGGCATGGACCAAATGGAAGTTTTCTGCATGCCAGGTACATGTCTTATTAAAGAGTCTTATAAAGAGTTAATGTTGCCTTTAAAACCATGTGCAGATACAGAATGTTCCCAATGCATTAATGCCACAACTATCAGACTCACATTTGACATGGTCATTTTATATCATTGTAGACCTTCATGTATTTTCTCTACCAACATCATCTCCATTTTTCTGTTTAAAAATATATATATTTTAATTGGCCAGCCAATCCTTTTTGATGACAGTGATCCCATAGATATTCTACAAGATTTACATTGCTATATTTGATTGGCTTGAATGGGATATAGAGAATATTAGTTCATTGTTTGCAAACATTGATTTCAGCAATTCCTGTGAGCACATATGAAAGCATTTGATGTATCTTATGTGCATATATTTGATTGACATTTGCATAAGAAATCTGCAACAGGCAACTTGAGTGTGATAATTGTCACTGAACAAACCTCCGTGACTTCTAATATAGAAACACAATGCCTATTACATTATTATAACTCTATAAATAAAAAAGTCCAGCTTTTCTGAAATTATTGGCCTTCCAAACACATTCAGAGGCAATCATTTTCTCTTAAACCTTAATCCCTTATATATTCCCCTTTAAATCAACAGGATAAAGTTGAAATAAACCTAACTGAAGAAAGGTAGATGGAAAGAGTAAAGGCATTCTTCAAAAAAGTGACAGAAATGCTTTCTCAAAATATACTTTATTTCTTTGGGCAGGTGCAAACATTGTTTAACCTTGTGCAGCTTTGAAATAATTTTTAAAATAACCTCATGGTTGTACCTGTGGAAAAAATATTCTGTCACCAGGGATGGGATTCTACCAGTTCGGGTGAACCGGTAGCTCTGACTATCAGCTGGGAGCGAACTGGTTCACTCTGACTTTCAGCTACCTGCCTGCCCCCTGCGCTATACTGACCTATATTCCCTTTTCTGAAGCCCAGCTGATAGGCGCAACAGAGCCTATCAGCTATTTTCCTCCCCAGCAGTAATGCTGAAGGTGATTTCTCTATAAACTGTGCAGTGCGCGCTCAGCGAACTGGTTGTTAAACCAGTAGGATCCCACCCATCTGTCACCCTGTTAAATTATGCTTTTGGACCTATTGGGCTGACTTGAAAGGATCCACAGAAAGATTTAGGGGCTGGAAAGATCAACTCAATGATTTAACCCTAATCCTAACCCAGTCAATGCATTGACACACTTAACTAACAAAGGCTCTTCAGATGATGTCTTTGTGCATAAGAATAACAGACACCAAAGTCCCAAATTGCCTACATTTTGAATACTGGTTGAAAAATGGCCTTGGGAAGAAGGAATAAAGTCTAATCCGGAGCCCCTGGTTAATCTAGTGGTTGATCAAAATACAAGATGATTTCCTTAATTTCATGATGAGCAGTTGGCTATTTCCACACCTTGCTGCTTTGGCAGGTATTTCATTGTGGATGTGCATTGTTTCACTGCTCTTTTCCCACTGCAATGTTTATCACAGTAATTTAGAAAATAAGGTCCTTTGAATGGCTGAGCCTTGTTTGCACAAAACGGAGTTTAAAGATTTTTGCATTCTGTGGCTCCTGCCACATGCCTGCATAGCATTCCTTGCCTATGGTGTTTTGTAAACCATAAGTTAAATATGAATGTGTACTTTCATTGTTAGCAGCTTGAAAACTGAAATGTTTCTGGAATTATTTTTGGTGCCTTTCCAAGTATTTTGTGAACATAAGCCAAATTTGGGGTAAGGTGTGAAATCTAACACTTTTTTCCAGCTGCTTTCTACAAATGTAGAGCTTGTCCCTCCCCCCCAACCCCAAAGTAATGTGTTTGTACGATGTAAGTGATAAATAAAAAAAGGTATTCTATAAGGTCCTGGTCTTTTTCATTCATCTTAGTTTATCGTTTAGACTCATTATTTCACTGTGTTATGATGGTTGACCTTTAATGTTTGCCATTCTGGTGAGAAAAAAAAATTCAAAGGGGGAAATCTCAATTTAAAAAAAAGGCCTCAGCACAGACAGGAATTCAACAGGCAGCTTTACACCTGGGTGAGTCACTCCTTTTCTGTTATTCTTGGTGATGGCAGGTCTGTTACTAAAGTTGCATTGCATAAGTTCTTTTATTTATTAAGAAACAACAAGTGAACATATTGTATTTAAAGTGCATCTCAAAGCTCCTCACTCCTCCCAGTTAGGTCAAATGCCTTTCTAAGCTACTCTAGTGACATCACTGTATCAGAACCATCTGGCCTTTGGAGGTGAAAACAAAACTAATAACAATAAGTCCTGTCCCCCATTGTCCCAAATGTGCTTGCTGATGCCTTAAGACATTGATTCTTAAGCCAGTGTTGATTGGGAGATTCTGGAGTTGAAATCCATTCATCTTAAAATGGCTGAAGTTGAGAAATAATGGCTTAAACTAAGTATTATTCCTGCCAAGCTCACCTGCTTACAAACAGGTGAAACCCGAAAAATTAGAATATCATGCAAAAGTTCATTTATTTCAGTAATGCAACTTAAAAGGTGAAACTACTATATGAGATAAGACTCATTACATGAAAAGCAACACCTCAGCAGTGCCACAGGTTGATAGCTTCCATGCCACNTCCCAGCCCTCTTTTTGACTCGTGCAGTGTACAGGTTCTCAATGGAAGGCAGGTTGCCACTAATTGTTTTTTCTGCAGTTCTGATTATCCTCTAAAGTCTGTGGCTGTCTTGTTGGGTTGCAGAGCCAAATTAGACAGTTATAGAGGTGTAGATGACAGAGTCAATAATTTCTCTGTAGAACTGTATCAGCAGCTCCTTGGGCAGTTTGAGCTTCCTGAGTTGGGGCAGAAAGAACATTCTTTGATGTGCTTTTTTGACGATGTTTTTGATGCTAGGTGTCCATTTTAGGTCTTGAGATATGATAGAACCTAGAAATTTGAAGGTATCTACTGTTGATAGTGTGTTGTCTAGTATTGTAAGAGGTGGTAGTATGGGAGGGTTTCTCCTAAAGTCTAGAAAAGGAGTAGAGGCAAACTGATTGAACTTCAGGGTTGTGGTCAGGAGGTTAGGTGAGATTGTCACTGTGAGTTTGTCTTTTTTAAGTTGAGAGTTGGGTTTGTTCTCAGCTGCCGTTACTTTCTGTATTTTCCTATCATGTATATTTGGTTGGGATTATATATTAAGTGTGCTGCCCAGAGCCACAATTTTGTGAACACCAGAAACTCCTGCTTGAATTCTGTTTTTGAACTTTTATATTGGCCACCCAGAAAAAGGATAATTGAATCATAGTCTTTCTTGCCCACTTTTAGTTTTTCAAGTCAGCTAGAAGTTAGCTTCAAAATAATTCATGAGATAAAATTGTTTATGATGGATATTACTGTCTTCTCCCCAGAAGGAGTTTTCAATGCTATAGAAGGTGAAACCTGCAGTAAAATTCCTGCGAGTGCCCTAATAATTTTTTTTAGAAGACCAATGATAGTCTAATCTTTAATAATGTTTACTGTGTTCCTGAATGCACTCGTGAAGTATTTCAACAATTTCAACTTTATGTTTTCTGATTTAGTTTTTAAAGTTTTAATATTAATGTTTACTTTTTATTAATTTTAATATTCTAAATCCATTTTTGTTTTGCATTACTGGCAAGATCTCACTGGTTTCTCCTTTGCTGGTATTATTCAAGTGAAGTGTGCCTCTATTGAGGATGCCATTGTAGAATTCCTGCTTTGAGCAAGGAATTGGCCTAGATCAGGGGTGTCAAACTGGCAGCCCATGGGCCGGATGTGTCATGCGCAGGCCAAGCCCACCCTAGCTCTGTGAAGGGGGAAAACGTCACAAAACATCACATGACAGCAATGTGACACTGCGAGTTTGACACCCATGGGCTAGGTGGTCAAAAAAAAAAAAACATTTCCAATCCCTATATTCTGTTATGCAACATTGTGTGAATTATTTAAAAATCTTGTAGCTCTTGTCTTAGAGCACCTCTGTATTTTAAATCTCAGCACTTCTTTCTGATCACAATGTTTTCTTTACAGTAACAAAGGGATGGAGCATCTTCTTAGTATGAAGTGCAAGAATGTAGTACCAGTCTACGATTTGTTGCTGGAGATGCTCAATGCTCACACTGTCCGCAGTCACAAGAAAACACCTGTCTCCAATCTTGAGAATAGCCCATTGGAATCAACAGAGACCACAAATGGAGTCCAGCAGTGATTCCAAAGAAGTCCAAATCCAGGAAATACCCAAAGGAAAAACAAAAGAATGAAAGAAATATCCAGATCAAAACTTTGGATATTTGCTGTTAAGAAAACAACAGCATCTTTACAATTTTTACTGGACCATTTGTTAATCTTTTTCAGACTGAATGTTGTCTGTCAACTTAGACAGTTTTAGAAAAGCCCCATGTGGTTGGAACTGAACCACCAGCTGATGATTTGTGGTTTTATCAAACGTTGCATTTCTGGAGTGCCTTCTATCATAGAGGAGACTGTCTAACTGCCAAAACAGCCTTAAGCTTCATGGTATCCTAGGTAGATGCCAATATAAGCTTCTTTTCTTTTCTTTTCTTTTTTTTAAAAAGGAGAGCTGGATAACTCAAAAAACCCAAGATCTCACAATGAATATCTGTCAGGGCAGAAAGAGAGGCAACTTCTGATAAGAAACTGAATAGTTTGATATGACACTGTTCATCAAGGCACAAAGCTGCACATTAGAGCAAACAGGAAAAACTGCTTGCATTAAAAATGCATGGCGTTCAGCTTGTTAATTGCAACGGACATTTAATATGTTTTCCCATTGTGCAAATGTACTTTAGATACGTTAGCCAAGGGGAATAATGAGAAGGTCTTCATATTTAATTGCAAAGCCTTGGTTTGGAGAGCTTGTTTCTAGATTCATTCTGATGAAATGAACTGGAAGCGTTTTAAAGCCCCAGTTGGTCTTGACTGCTTTCGAAGCGTTTGCCATGCATTTGAGTTCTATGTTGAAGTACCCGTGGCTTTATTTCCTCTTAGAAATGTGTACAATATACTGCTATTGTTGTGAAGGAATTATTGCAATGAATATTCAGCATTTGTGAATAGTGATGTAATATTTGAAGTACTGAAGATCAAAAATAATTATGGTTATTTTATATGAGATTGAGGTGTTTACAGACAAACCTGGAAGTACAAAATAGGAAATGGGGGACCAAATAGAATGTGTCTGATCAACCACCTTATGCATGTCCATGTGCCAACCCATCAGCCCTGTCAATCACATTCATGTATCCCTACCAGCTTCTCATTGTAGGAAGCAGCTCTACACAAATATATAAAACCTAGTCAGAGCTTGTGGCATCATTAAGGAGAGTGAAGGAATTGTGTGTGCATTATTGTTCTGTGTGAATATCTAAATGCATTCATTATTCTAAACCTTGCAGAATGATCTGCGTCATATGTTTTATATGCAAGCATCTGGGATAAAGAAGTTAGCCTTGGAAACGCCCTTAAAAAGGCAAGGTTTAGTATCCCTGAACCAGACCAGGAAACCGTGAACTGTGCCTGACTGCACTGCCCTTCATGTTGGGGTCTCTTTAAGAACTGTCCAGAAACTTCAACTGATACAAAACAGGGCAACCAAGATCAGTAACAGCTACAGTAAGCCACAATAACATAAAATATTGAAACACACATTTTGCCTTTAGGTAGCTACATTCATTTAAGGCAACTATTTACATCATGACATCTTTACATGGATCATGTCCCTTGACCTCTCATTGGTAGATGTTCATAACTACTACTACTACTAAGCTACTAAGTTAGGCACGATATTGAGAAGACCTTACACCCCTGCTTATTGTCAGTTCTATTTGGGGTACTATTAATTGTTTTTTTATATTTAAAGTCCTAAACGTCTTTGGATATAAGATACGGTGGTGCAGTGGTTAGAGCGCAGTACTGCAGGCTGCTTCTACTGATCACCGGCTGCCAGCAGTTTGGCAGATTGAATCTCACCAGGCTCAAGGTTGGCTCAACCTTCTATCCTTCCGAGGTGGGTAAAATGAGGACCCAGATTGTTGGGGGCAATTGGCTGACTCTGTAAGTCGCTTAGAGGGGGCTGTAAAAGCGCTATAAAGTGGTATATAAGTCTAAGTGCTATTGCTATCAAGCATCTCAGTTTCATCCTGACTGGTCATGAAAATCTATTCATTCATTCTTTCTAGATATAACATATTCTAAGGCAGTTTGTAAAATATAGGCAACATCTAAAATATCCACATTATATTTTATACTTAAACAACCATAAGTACTGAGAATAATTAAAAAAACAATCATGATGAATCCTTTAAATTAATTATAGTCAGTCATATTAAAATTCAGCAGGTGACACCCTCTTAAAGATGCCCCTCCATTCCAAGGTTGGATACGTGAGAAAAGGCTTCCTTGCTGTTTCTCTCAACCGTTGGAATGCTGTCTCATGTTCGACTTCTTCCTCCTTCAGCTTTTAGGAAAGGAATCCAGACCTTTCTCTGTAATCAGACCTGTTTTGTTTGAAACAGTCAATAATTAGTTCAAATGGTTTAAATCACATTTTAATTGTTTATGTTACTTTTTGACTGTTCATTTGAGAACCCTCTGCTTCAGAGAGGGAAAAATTAACAACTATCAATTAATAGGAAAGTCATGGAAAAGCTGCCTGATTTCAATTGGACAACACTGATTAGAAGTTTTCTTTTTTCTTTTGGTGGGGAATATCCATTGATAAGGCATTTCCCCCCTTAACTCTTCATTCCCAACAGGAATCTGTGTGGCCACAGCTGCCTGGAACCACTGGCATTTGATAAAGGTTCTGCAGATAGTCCATGTGTAAGGCATGATATACAAGTAATTACAACAATCGTATGAGACTGCCAAATCTTGGAGTTTTAAGCAAATAAATATTTAAAATTATGAATAATAAGAATTAATTGGGAGGGGGGTATCTTAGGGACACTTGAGAAGATTGTGGATGTTGCTTGAAGCTGCCATGTTGCTGATCTTGGGCTTATTCAATGGTTCTTTAACAGCTTTTGATTTCAATGTAGCTTTTTATTTATTTATTATGGGGAGTTGTTTGTGAGTCAGTGTTGACTTCTGGTGGCTGCCAGGACAAGTCCCTGCAGCTTTTTGGCAAAGTTTTTCAGAAGTGGTTTACTGCTTCTTACTAGGGCTGAGAGTGACTGGTCACCTGGCTTTGTGCCTAAGCCAAGACTACAACTCACAATCTCCTAGTTTCTAGCCTGGTGACTTAACCACAGCATCTGATTCTCACTGATCATGCTAGTGATTAGCATGAAAAATAAAAGCTGAGAACAACCAATCTATGGAAACATCAAATTCAGTTCTATGCATATAAAATAATGTAGATATGCTCAGCTGCCTGGTGCGATTTGACCAGGGGTGGGTTTCAGGCGGTTCGCGGCGGTCCCCGTGAACCGGTTGGTCGGCGAACCCGGAAGTAAGTAACTTCCGGGAACGCCGAAGGGTCCACCCGCCCGCCCGCGTTTCTTACCCAGTTTTGACGAGTTCTGCACTTCCACGCATGCGCAGGACACATACAGCGCCTGCGTGATCCTCCAGGAACAGCTGGAGCATCGCACAGACGNCTATTAATCTATGGTAGTCAAAAAATCAGAAGCTTGGTCACACCTTTTCGGCTAACATAAATAGCCTTCCATAAGCTTATTTTGTAAGTCAGAAAAAGTGCTACTAGACTCCCATTAATTTGGACCGGCAATTTCCTGCAATTCATTATCAGAATTGTCCAGGAATGTCATATGCTAATTCTTAGAACCAAGAGAGAAAGAAGATAAAGGCCCCATATTCTCTTGCACATATAGAGTATACTGCTGTCTTGGCCATAGGGATGATTTTGCCCTTCCATAAATCATTTCTGACTTACTGTATGTTATTCAAAGAAAATTGAACATAAATGGATTTGATTAAAAAGCCACATCTCTACAAAATTTATTTGTTTGTATGTGAGATAATCAACACAATTTTTTTCTTTTTAAAAAAATCTAAAAAAACAATAAAGGCTACCTACATATAGCATTTTCATTTCTTTTTATAAAAAAATGTACAAAAGGAGACATCAGACAAAGTAGACAAATCTAAGTACTATAAAAATCTGTCTTGGAAACATACATATTCATGAACTTGAATAGGTACGATTCCTAAAATTCTAAAGTATAACAAATATTTTAAAAATCGAAGTTATCTTTCCACTAAAATAGCAAAATACAGAAAGAGATCTCCCTGCATGCAAAGTACCACCTGAAAAAAGGAGTTCTCATTTCTTTTAACATTAAAAATGATGGGTTCACTCCACCAGGAAGTTCTCTGCAAGACTCACCAAAACAAAGGGGAAAGACAGAATAGTGCAGCCATGCTGTTGTGCAACTCTAGCTCCTACCTGTTACTATTGGGCTTATGCAGTAGATCTTTCTAGGGGATTATGCATTTATCTTTGATTTGAGGAATTATTTTAATGCTAACAAGACACAGTCTTGTAAATTCTGTGTTCACCGATTCTTTCTGGCATGAAGATCACTGATTGATCACACACTGTGCAAAAAGTAGAAAGTACATTGCTTATAGTTTGAAAATATATAGAAATAGCTTTCCTGTATAAAGCTCTAAGTAACAGCTCTTACCCACCCAATCCAAGTCCTGAAATTGCTAACTGATTTTTTATCTCGGTGATGGGAAGCAATAGCATGTTCTTAGAAGATGAGCTGAAGCCTCTTGGTTTGGTTCCCGTTGAGTGCAATAGAGATCTCCACATAATATTGTCAGTGTTACTCATCAGTGCTTGTTAAGCCCTGGTTGAAGTTACCAAGAAACTGAAATTCTGGATAAACTCTAGCAGCATAAAAAGAAGACTCCATAGAAGATATTAATTAAAAAATTGAATGTCTTTAAGTTGGTGGAGGTCCATTAATATATCGTAGCATCGGGTAGAAAGAACGAGCAAAATTATTGGTTTGAGTGCAGCTGTAGTCTTCTTCTGAGACAGGGATCAAGGTAGCCAAAAACAACAAGAGGAGGAGGAACAATTGTAAAGGTAATGCTGCTCGTAGGACACGACAGAAGAAAGCATACTTCTTGGGTGCAAATGAATTGGTCTCTTCGTTCTCTTCCATCCTGCAAACAGAGGACAACCTATAAACAGGGCAAGCCACTTGTATATAAACAGAGAGCAGACCTCTCTCCCTTCTAGCACTGATGATGTTACCTAGTTGGTAATCAAGTTCAGCGACCACCAAAGAATCCACAATTTACAAACTCTCTTGTACCAAGAAAGGTTATGATTCCAACTAGCCCTATATTGCCTTTTTTGACTGCCAACACCTCTTCAAGCCTTGGCATAGCAAATGTTATGGTCAAAAATAATTTTTGGATTGAATTATTGTAAAAAAAAGTATTGTTAAGAATTGCTTCAGCATGAATTTTTTTGTGGCTTGAACTATTAATGCTTATAATTCTACACCAAATTCCCATGGTTTTCAATATGAAGTGTCATAAATATTTCACAAGTCATACATTGTGAAAACTATGAATTTTTAAACACTAGCAATCATACAGTTAGTGTTTAATAATTGAATTCAACATGACATTGTGGTCATGCAAATATCCTTCTTTGGACCATGGAGAGGAAGAGAAGACTGACTCTTTCACTCCCTTCCATATTTCTGACACCATTTATGCCACTGAAGGAGAATCCAATGAATTCAATTCAAACTCAAATGAATTTCTTTTTTAAGGGAAATACAAATATTCATTCATCCATTGGGGACTTTGGGGGGTTTTCGGGGGAGGGGGGGAGGGAGTCTGGCACAAAGGATTACATCACTTCTCCTTCCTTCTACATGACCCTAAGTTGTTCAGCATCTCCTACAGCTAAGGAAATTTGCATTCAAATAATCAATGTTTCTTACTGGACTCTAAATCTATTGGAAGATTTTGATACTAATTTTTAGTTCACAGAAGAAACTGTTTACTGGAAAAAGCATTACCTAACATTGCTGCTGGTGTTTCTCTGCAGGATCTTCTTTTCATCAACCTGTAGGTATTTAAAATGTGATTACTACTGCTGGCCTTAAAAAATTAAAACCCCAAAGCAATAGCACGTACAAAAGGCACACACATTTAAATTGCGTATAAATACAGTCAGCCCATCAGTATTTTGGCTATGCAATGCATCCCCTCTGCCATGGCCTCTATATTGCCAGTTATCATGGGGTCCCAAGAATATACTAATACAAATACAGTATCCCTTAATATGTACATATGTAATGGCATTTACTTGACTGGGTGGGCAAAACCATGAGAGTCAGTACCTGAAAGCATATGCAGATAGTCCTCGAGTTACAGCCACAATTGATCCAACATTTCCAATGCTAAGCAAGACATTTGTTTAGTGAATTTTGCCACATTTTTCTTTATTTTTCTTGCCACAGTTGTTGGCAAGAATCATTGCAGTTGTTAAGTTAGTAACTCGCTTGTTAAGTGAAATCTGGTTTCCCCATTGATTTTGCTTGTCAAATCGCAAAAGGTGATCACATGACCCTGGGATACTGCAACTGTCATAAGTACATGCCAGTTGCAAAGCATCTGAATTTTGATCACATGACCATGGGGATGCTGCAGCGGCCGTGTGAAAAACCATCACAAGTCACTTTTTTCAATGCTGCTATAACTTTGATCTGTCACTAAATGAATGTTTGTAAGTCAAGGACTACCTATCAAGATTGAATGATGACAGACAAAAAGAAACAAATTAAGGAAGAAATGTCTTTTACAAAATAACCACTAAACAACTTGCCTTATTTTTAGAAACAGGAGATTTCTCTGATAATTGATGATAGGTTCCAGAATCCAGTTCTTCCCCATTCACCTGAAATGCACTTACGTCCTAGAGGAACGACAAGAAGAAAGCCTTACCTCTGTTATTTCTCCAAAGTTAGAGTTGTAATAATCAGATTTGGAACATGCAGTCCAACCTACCTGACTTCCTTGTGAGACCTTTAAGTCACATGAAACTCCTTCAAGAAGCTGTTTAAGCTTCTTCCCAATAACATGGACCTTCTCATTAGCCTCAATATATTTTTCTCCGTCAGATTTGACAAGCAAAAATGCAGCAATTTCTTGCAGAGTATTTACTTGAAGTTGCCGTTCCAGAAGCTCTTTTTCCAGTTGCTTAAAATATATAAGAGGAAACATTAACAACCACAGGAAGCCGCCGCCTAGAGAATCATCCACTATTTCATCCACTCACTTCACTCTGGCTGATAGTAGTATTCCCAAGAGAGTCTTGGATTACAGATGCAGCTGAACATCTGGACTTTATACATGCAAACAATATAACAATACTTTCCAATGAACCCTGCTCCATGTGAATTAAACATATATTAGGACAACAAACAAAACTCCAATGCCAAAAAGCCAAAACTAGATGCTTGGCATTCCAACATCCTACCAAATACATGTGAGTCAACGATGCTTGGACCCCTTCATTTGAAATAGGACATGGGTTGCAATAACCATGGTTGGTTGGATCCTTTGTTTATATATAATTCTAAATCAAGAATGAATGATTTAGGACAGTGGTAGTCAACCTGGTCCCTACCGCCCACTTGTGGGTGTTCCAGCTTTCATGGTGGGCGGTAGGGATTTTGTCCGATACTGAAGCACTTTCCTTTTTTTAATTTAATTGACTTCCCTACTTTATAAGTCACCATTACTGTGGAATCGGTGGGCGGTTAG